TCCTCTGGCTTCTTTTGGAACAATATTTATTTAGTTTTGACTGGTTTTTTTTTAATCAGACTGCGAAATAAAGCGCCAGCCTGCGGCAGCTTCCCTGGGACAGACACATGGGATGGAGCAGCCTGGAGTGCATGGCCTCCTCCTCTGTACCCGCTTCCCCTGCCAGCTGTAACCAAGAGGGGTCAATAAATAGAGTTTTTACTGAATGCTAGCTCAGAGGTTTTCTGCCTGCACCCTGCCCTTCCCTTAGGATTTGCTCAGAGCAGAGTTGCTTGGTGGGAGTCAATGCTCCTCCTGCCTTTGTTGCTTGGTGTTGCCCTCTGTGTGCTGCAAGTTTTGCAGAGGAGCTGATTTCTGTTGTTAACAAATAAGGTTTTGTTATGGATGCACCACATGGAGACATCACGCTGACATCGGGGGCACCTCCCTGGGGGTGTGGGATAGGGAGAGACACTGGGAGAGGGATAAAGTGGATAAAGAAGCATCCCAGTGTGCTGCTCCTGAGGGATTGCCCGCATGGGAGAGATATTTCTGAGAGGAAAAGTTCCTGCTGCACACACTCTCCCCTCTCCTGCTTTGTTAGTAGGGATTTTCTATGGAAGCAGAGCCTTTGTTCCTTCCCAGTGCTCCTGGTCAGCCTCCTTTGCTAGGAAATGAGCAGGAACAGCAGATCTTAGGAAACAAAGCTCTTCTTTGCATGTAAATGCTCCTGAAGAATGGCAGCGACCCGGGAGACAAAGCAGAGCTCTTTGCACAGAGAAATGCAGGTCCTGGCTTCAATGCCCTCCCCTCTGCAGTGCTGAGGGGGTGACGGGGTCCTGCTCCTCCCAAAGCCCCCCAGGCCCGTGGGGAGAAGCGTGGGCTGGGGCCCACAGCTCCGAGGTCTCAGGTGGATGAACCTGGCGCTATTTTCTTATTTCGTGAGACTGTACAATAGGAATTTGACTGGGAGCAGCTCCTTGCTGGTTGGACCTGAAAGGGGAGGCTAGTTGTGTGTTGTTGCCTCCTTTCTGGCTGTCTCTGTTTTAAGTTTTCCCTTGCTGTCAATAAAAGTTCTACTTTTGGGAAGCTGGTCCGCGTGCCCCCTGTCCGTGCTTCCTGCCAGGATGCTGGGGCTGCCACAGGGGCTTTGCACCCAGAGAGGAAGCAATGCCTTCCTCCACCCTTGGTATTCCCCCCCGGCCTCGTGTGATCCGCTTATTTCAGGGATTTGGGATTGCACTGCACGTGTGGGGTTTGCTGTCTGCTTGGCTTCTGGCATTCCATCTTTTTCCAAGGCTGGAATTTGGTGCTGCTGCAGGAAAATCTTTCCACCACCTCACCAGGACTCCGGGCTGAGCCACGCTCCACCCTTGAAAGCACTCTGGAGGAGTTGGTGGCCATGCCCTGCTCCTGCTCCTGGTTAAGGGGCCCAGACAGGATCCCCACCCACCAGGAAGGGACCCAGGCAGCTCTGCCTTTGTCCCAGGGCTGGAAAAGCATCTGTTGTTCCACTCTGAGGAGCTCTGCTGGCTTTTGAGGAGCCTTCAGGGAGGGCCAAGCCCCTGTTCCTCCCAAAGGAAGGGAGAAGGAGTTGATGCTGGTGTGGGAGCATGGGAAAGGCAAGGCATTAAGAGGATGAGAGAGCTTGGGTGGTGCAATTCAGAGAACTCCCAGAGACAATTACATGCCTGAGGGGCTGGAATTTAACCCTCTAGCAGGGGAGCTAAAACTGAGGCTCAGCCCTGCTGCCAGCATGTGGCCAAGAGCTGTGTCCCCAGTGCCAGGGCAATGACATGAACTGAGGGGAGCAGTGAGGCACAGCTCAAACCCCTGGATACCCACCCAGCTCTGGGTGTTCCCCTCCCAGGGATCAGCCCTGGGAGTTCCCCTGGATGCTGCCCCCAGTGCCATCCTTTCCCCCAGAGACAAAACCAAGGATGCTCGAGCAGATGTAAATTTATTTCACAGCCAGGACCCGTGCAGGGCTCAGAGGGGACTCAGAGCTGCAGCTCTCATGCAGGCTCAGCCTCGGTTTTACTTTTCAGCCTCTTCTTTCTGTTCCTCTCCTTCCTCCTCCTCTTCCCGCTGGTGGTGGGGACTGGGGAGGGAGTGGCTGGCACTGGCTCCCTGCCCCCTCCCTCCTGCGCTGGGGCATCGCTCAGGATGGTGTTGGATGCTTCCCCCAAGGATGGCAGCAGGGCCCAGGCATCAGCAGGGCCAGGATGGCTCCGTGCCCCCTTTTCAGAAGAGCCTTTCTTCTTCAGACCTTTCCCCTTTTTTTTCTTATCTTTCTTTCTCTTCCTCTCTTTCTTGCCTGCCTTGGGCGCTGTCCCGGTGTGATGATCCCCTGGGAGGGCTCCTCCTCCTGTGCTGCCCCACGGGGGGCTCAGGGGGACTCCCCTGGGCCTGGCTGCCCTGTCGATGAGCTCTCCCCCAAATTCATACAGCACGGGCTCTCGGGGCACCGCCACGGCCACCGTGTTGTACGTCTTACACCTGCCAAAACCGAGGAGGCACCACAGGGTGGGACACGCCCGGGCAGGGGACGGTCCCCAGGGCAGGGGGGCACTCACCAGACATAGAGGTAGGGCTCCACACACTCCTCCCTGTAGGTGAACTCGAAGCAGGGCACCTGGATGACGTTGAAGAAGGCCTGGCCCACCACGCGCGAGGCCGTGTCGTTCACCCGCCGCAGGCACTCCTTCAACCTGCCCGGGCACAGCGGGGCTCAGGGGGCTGCCACGCCCGGGGGGTGCCAGGGAGCCCCGGGGAGGTGCCGGGGAGCCCCGGGGCAGTTTGGGGACGCTCACCTGTGGTCGCAGTCGCAGTGGCTGATGGTGTGCCAGCGCAGGTTGCGGTAGCCGTAGCGGGCTGTGAAGGGGTGGATGACGTGCTGGCAGTGGTCGTGCTCCCGGCAGCACCGGTCCGTGTCCCGGTGCTCCCCTGCGGGGAAACGGGGGCTGCAGGCAGGGCTGGGGGGCCTGCATGCAGGGATGGGGTTGAGCTGGGCTAGGGCTAGGGTCGGGATTGGATTGGAGTGACACGTGCATGGGGTAGGGGAGGGTGGATGGGTTCAGCGCTTGGGTGGGGACAAAGCTGGCACTGGGCTGTGCCAATCCCACACTGGGGATGAGACTGGGCTAGACCGGGGTCCTGGAGCAGGGCCATGAGAGGGTTTAGGGATCAGGACAGCAACTGGGAGTGGAGCACTGTTGGGGTGGGGACTGGAATGGCAGCAGGGGGGATCACAGAGTAGGCTGGGGACGGGGGGGTGGATCAAGAGTGGACCAGCACCAGGAAGAATTGTGATAGGGACTAGGCAGAGGTGAACTGGGATTGGACTGGTGCTTGGGTCAGGACTGAACTGGGACAGACAGGGATTGAACTAGCTTGGGAACAGAGGCTGGAGTAGAGCCATACTGGGATGGACTGGATTAGGCTTGGTGGGGACTGACCCAGCACTGGACTGGGCTGGGATGGAGCAGCACTGGGTTGGGAATGGGATGGGATTTGAGGAACAGAATTGGAAGGGATGGAAGGGAGTGGGATGGGATGGGATGGGATGGGATGGGATGGGAAGGGAAGACAGATGTAGCAGCATCCCTGCCGCCCTTACCCAGCTGCTCGTAGCTGTCCGCGTTGCTGCCCGCACCGCACCACAGCGTCCCGGGGTAGGTGAGCCCGCGGCGGGCGCGGGGCCGTCCCGGCGGGGCCGCTCCGGGGGCAGGTGGCAGCAGGAGCAGGAGGAAGAAGAGGAAGAGGAGGAGGAGGCGGCAGAGCAGCCCCGGGGCGCACATGGCACCGCGCCGCTCTCCGCCGTGGGGCCGCCTTATAGAGTGGCGCAGCCCGCCCACGCGGGGCGGCCCGGCACGGCTTGGCACGGCCCGGCACGGCCCCGAGGGTCCCGCAGAGCCGGGCTGCTGCCGCCGCTCCCGCAGCCGCGGCACGTCCCGCGCCGGCAGCCCGCGGGGAAGGGGTCACCGGCCCCGTTGCTGTGGCAGCCGGTGGGGTGATGTGCCGGGGCCGGTAACGAGCCGGCCCCAAACCCCCGCCCCGTGACGCACCGGCCCCGCACAGCCCCCGGCCCCGAGCGGCCCCCGACGGGAGCACCATGCTCCCTGCATCCCTGCGGATGGATGCCCTGTGAGCCCCCAGGATCCCAGCCCCAGATGCTCCCTGCATCCCCGTGGATGGATGCTCTGGGAACCCCAGGATCCCAGCCCCAGATGCTCCCTGCATCCCCGTGGATGGATGCTCTGGGAACCCCAGGATCCCAGCCCCAGATGCTCCCTGCATCCCCGTGGATGGATGCTCTGGGAACCCCAGGATCCCAGCCCCAGATGCTCCCTGCATCCCCGTGGATGGATGCTCTGGGAACCCCAGGATCCCAGCCCCAGATGCTCCCTGCATCCCCGTGGATGGATGCTCTGGGAACCCCAGGATCCCAGCCCCAGATGCTCCCTGCATCCCCGTGGATGGATGCTCTGGGAACCCCAGGATCCCAGCCCCAGATGCTCCCTGTCCCTTCCCGCGGTGCTCCCCCCATCTGCACATCCCCCCCGATGGAAACACGATTCTTCACCCCCCCACGAGTGTGTGCTGCATCCCCATGTCCCAGCCCAGGGACGCTCCCCGTGGCCCCACATCCCCTCTCGTGGATGTGCCTTTCACAGGACTGGGCACAGCCCAGAGCCCGGTGCCCAGCCGGGCTGGCCGCCCACACCGGCACTCCCAGAGCGCTGCCAGGGCCGTCCCTCCCGGCCAGCTCCTGCCCCTGGAGCCCATTGGCAGTCAGGACACAGCCCTGGCTCACTGGGGTGCTGTGGCAGCCAGCTCTCAGCAGGGCAGGCTGCCTGGACACCCCAACGGGGACGTGCGTGGCCTCAAAAAATCCCAGGAGCACCCAAAGCTGCAGGACATCCCCCTGGCTGGCTGACCCCTGCATCACAGGGTGCCACCCCAGTGTGCCACCCACACTGGCACAGGCAGCTGGTGCTGGGGACGCCCACGTGGGGTGCAAATGTCGCTTCCCACCACAGCGCTGCCTGGCTGGGACAGCAGAGCCCGTGGGGACATCAGTGGCCCATGGGAAGGGTTCCTGCCTGGCACTGTCCCCGTGTCCAGCTGGCTGAGGGCGCTGGCCTGGTGCCACAGGGGCTGCCCCCGCTCAGCTGTCGCTGTCTGTGACGCTCCTGTGAGGGCCCTGCTCGGCTCAGCCCTGCCACCAGCACCCAGGTATGGAGCCAGAACGGGAACCCTGGGCCCTGGGGTGCCACGTGTGGCTGTGGGTGGGGGGCACCGGGCTGTGGGGAGGTGGGGAAGTCTCACCCCCCCCTTCCTGCTCAGTGCTTGCAGCGCCTGCAGTCCCCACGCATGGACCTGTGCCACGTCCCTGCCACCCGGGAGAAGGGCTGGTACCTGGCACTGATGGCCCCCAACGTCAAAGGTCCCAACTATGCCTGGCTGGACCCCTCCCGGCTCTACTGCCACCCGCAAGTACCCAGTGCAGGGGTGCCAGGGAGGGGGGCTGCTGGGGCACCCAGCTGTGGGTGCCCATGGTGGGCTGCGGGCACCCAGCCCCTCCATTCTCCCCCCAGGGCTTGCAGGACTGCGTGGCCGACCTGCTGCAGCCCTTCCAGGGAGACGCCATCGACATGGTGGCCGGCATCGACGCCATGGGCTTCATCCTGGGTGAGCAGGGCACAGGGACAGGCGAGGGCAGGGTCTCTGTCCCTCGTCCTGGGGGTCCTGACCGTGCCGTGCCCCCCTGCAGGCGCCGCAGCCGCTGCCACCCTGCGGAAAGGCTTCCTGGCCATCCGCAAGGCCGGGCACCTGTGCGTGCAGACGGAGGCCCAGCCCTACAGCGACTACTCGGGCCGCCAGAAGCTGATGGAGCTGCGCACCGACGCCATCTCCCCCGGTGAGACAGAGGGCTGCTCCCTGCCGGGGGGCTGAGCGCGGGCGCGGGGCACTCACCCGCAGCCTCTCCCCACTCAGGTCTGCGCGTCCTCCTGGTGGACCAGTGGGTTGAAACTGGGGGCACCATGAGGGCGGCCATCGAGCTGGTGGAGCGGCTGGGGGGGGTCGTGGCAGGTAGGAGGGGGCACCCCAGGGTGGGAGCACAGCTCCCACAGGCGGTGCTGAGCCCCGCCGTGTGTCCCCACAGGCGTTGCTGCCATCTGCATGGAGAGCAGCGAGGGAGGGAAGTGGATCCAGGAGCGCTACAAGTGCTCCCACTGTGTCCCCCCCCGCCTGCAGCCCCGCTTCGACCAGCACCAGCTGGGCTGGGACTGATGTGGGAGTGTCACCTCGTGTGGGACTGATGTGGGAGTGTCACCTCGTGTGGGACTGATGTGGGAGTGTCACCTCGTGTGTCCCCTGCAGCCCCCCGAGGGACACAGGGCTGCTGGCTCTGCAGGACAGGGATGCTCCTCGGTGGAAAAGGAACTCGTCCTCAGTGGCAGCCATCCATTCTCCTGCTTGCCTGTGAGCCTGGGGGCTGCACCAGGGACAGGGAGACCCCCAGCCAGCCCCAGCCCCCTGCCCCCAGCCCCACGCCTTTCTTACAAAGCATAAAAAAGATTTTATTAAGACAAAAGGGAGCCTGAGGACATCTCTCCCTGCGAGCAGTACCTGGGTTTGCATAGCTGCAGAGCCACCCGGGGGCTCCTGCCCGCCCCAGCCGGGGGTGCCCAGGCAGGCCGGGGGCTGGGGGGGCTGGGGGTGGCAGGGACGTCTCCTCGGGGCCGGCCGGGGTCGCCCCTCTTTGGTCCAGAGCACGGAGGGGGCTGGGGCTGCCCCTCACTGGCAGCACTTGGGTTTCTTGCGGGGCGTGGACAGGTACAGGTCGCTCTCCTTGCTGCTGATCCCTGAGGGACAGAAAGGCAGGGTGGGTGTGTGGGGGGACAAGGGGACCCCCAGGCAGGGCTGGGCAGGGCTACTCACGCACGGTGTCGCCGATCCTGCGGGTGCTGCTGCCGCGCTCCAGCTCGGCCAGCACGCTGCTCTCGAAGGTCAGCGCCGCCACCCGGAAGAAGAAATCCCGCACGTTCTCCCCTGCCCCGCGGGGAGAGACCCCCTGAGTGCCCCCCGGCCCGGCTGACGCTGGGATCTGCAGATCTGCAGCCCCCCACCCAGCTGGGGCTCACCGGTGAGCGAGGACACAGCCCAGTACTCTGCCTGCATCTCCTGGGCCACCTTGAGAGCGTCCTTCTCCATCAGGCTGTACTGGGCTGGGGTCTGCCAAGGGAGCGTGGGTGGGTGACAGGGACAGCCAGGGCACAGCGTGCCCGCAGGGAGGGGGACACACTCACGCTCAGGTCCTTCTTGGAGCCCACCAGGAAGAGGATCACGTTGGATGGGTCGTTTTCCTTCAGGGCGTCAGCCAGCCACTGCCTGCGGGAGCCACTGTCACCAGCTGGTGGCCACACGCCACAGCAGCCCCCAACCCCGCTCTGTCCAGCCCTTGAGGCCCCCACTCCCACCCCAGGCCTCGTGTCACCCACCGTGTGTGCTCCAGGGACCCCACGTCGTTGACATCGAAGACAATCACGATGGCTGGGGAGGAAGGAGGGGTGAGATGGGGACAGGGACAGGGACAGGGACAGGGACAGTGGGGTGGGCAGCTGGGCTGCAGCGGGGAGCTCACCCTGTGCTCCTCGGTAGTAGGTGGAGGCGATGCACTTGAAACGCTCCTGGCCGGCCGTGTCCCACCTGGGGGGTGCGGGAGGTGAGGAGGGGGGCTTTGCAGGGGTCTGTGGGGAGGGGGCTGCCAGCACTCACAGCTGCAGGCTGAAGGGCACGCCCAGCACCTCGAACCGCTCCATCTCGAAATCCACCCCGATGGTCGCCTTGTAGTTCTTATCAAAAGTGTCCTTGCAGAATCTGGGGGGGAGCCAGGGGGGTATCAGGGTATCAACATCCCCTGAGCCCCGTGGGGGCTCGGTGCCCCCTCCCCGGGAGCGCCCAGCCCCGGAGCTGGGCCCTGCGGGGTCGCTCCCCCTCTCCATCCCCCTCCGAGCCTCCCGGGGCTCCCGTTACCGGTTGATCAGGCACGTTTTCCCCACCGACAGGTCGCCCACCACGATGATCTTGGAGATCTTGAACCTGCGGCGAGGGGGAGGCGCTGCTCAGCGGGGTCGGGGGGCCCTGCTCACCCCCCGCCTGTCCCGGGAGGGGCACAGGGGCACCCGGGCTGGGCGGGCATCACCCCCCTGCCCCTCGCGTGCCCCGCCGCGGCTCTCCCCGTGTCCCCCCGGTGTCCCCCGTGTCCCCCCCGCTCCGCATTCCAGCGCCGTGACGCAGGGCTCGGCACGGGCAGCGCCCGCAGCCACGCGGCGCCCACGCTGGGGACCCCCCCCAACGGCTGGGGACCCTTGTCACCCCCCTCCCCGGCCCCTTGTCACCCCCGAAGGGGCGGCACCGACCCCACGGTGCCCGTGCGCTGCTCCCGGCAGGCGCTGGCCACGGCGGGGTGGAAGGCGGGGCGGGCGTGCAGGGCGGCCTCCTTCCGAAAGCACTGCGAGGGGACAAAGAGGGACACGGCGGTGACCGCGGGGCTCGGCGGGGTCACCCCCGCGCCGCCGCGTCCCCCCGCTCACCGCGGGCAGGTCGGCGATGACCCGGTCCCTGCGGACCGGAGCCAGCACGTTCATGGTCCGGGGGTGGCCGGGGCGGCGGGGACGGGGTGGCGGTCACCGCGAGCTCTGGGGACACAGAGAGCCGGGAGTGGCGATGTCCCCGTGTCGCCGTTGTCCCCCTGTCACCGTTGCCCCCGTGTCGCCGTTGCCCCGTGTCGCCGTTGCCCCCGTGTCGCCGGTGTCCCCACGAGCAGCGCTTTGGATGGTGGCTGTCCCCAGGCGGGGCTGTCCCCTCGTCCCAAGTCTCCGCTCTCCCAGGCTGTCCCCGTGTCCTGGCTCCCCGCGTCACCAAGGATGGCTGTCCCCACATCCCGCGCCACCTCGAGCCCCCCTGCCCGTGGCTGTCCTCACAGCCCGTGTCCCCACACGCATCCCGAGTGTGCCATGCCGTGTGCCCTCCCGGGGTGTCACTGTCCCCTGCCCCCGGGCGTGGCTGTCGCGCAGCTGTCCCCCTGTCCCACCACCCACCCCCACATTCCTGCACACCCGGCCACCACCGTCCCCACTATCCATCCATCCATCCATCCATCAATCCCCAGGTGTCCCCACAGTGTCGCTGTCCCCGCCCCGCACTCTGCCCGTCCCCAAGTGCCACCCACCCCCCTCTCCGTGTCCCCCCGTCCCGTGTCCGCCGTGCACGGACCCCGCCGTCCCCTCGCCCCATCCCAGCCCAACATCAAGCTCTCCCCGCCTCGTCCCAGTCCCCACGGCGAGGGAACGGAGCGGGGTGTCCCCGTTACCGCCAACCTCCCAGCGCCGGTAGCGGTGCTCGGTGCTTCACGCCCAGTCCCGGAGTAACCGGCGTCCTGGCCCCTCCCACGCCCCCGTTCGGGGGCGTGGGAGGGGCCAGGACGCCGGTTACTCCGGGACTGGGCCATTGCGCTGCTAGCACCGCGACGGGACCCCGGTAATCGCCGCCACCCCGGGGCTCACCCCGGTCCCGCACCGCCACGACGGCGGGGAGGGACGGCGGCGTGCCAGACTACAACTCCCATGACGCCCTGCGGCGCGCGGGGAACGGCCGCGCATGCGCACAGAAGGCCGTTTAGTGAGTACTACCACGACCGGCATGCCCCGAAGGTGTCGCGAGACTCGGGGCGGAGGGGCGATGGGGATTCCCATCCCAATTCTTGCTCCCGCGAGATTTGGGGGTATAAGCCCGTGCAGCGCGGAGCGGGAGACCCCTTTCGGCTTCCGCCTGGCCAAGATGGCGCCCAAGGCGAAGAAGGAGGGTGAGGGCGCGGGGCGCCGGGTCCGTGCTGGGGGCGCGGGCCGGCGTGTGCGACCCCGCGAGGGGCTGCTGTGTGTGTGGGGGTGACCGGGCTGAGCGAGGCGGGGAGTGGCGCGGGGTTCCAGGGCTGTGTTGGGCCTGGGCACGTGGAGGCGGCGGGAGAGGCCCGCCGGGTTGTGTGAGGGCGGTGCGGGATGTTCCCGTCTCGGTGCTGGGACTCGTGCGTGGCGGGAGGGAATAAGTGCCTCTTCCAGCACGGAAACGGGAGATTTTTAACACAGATGGGGGTTTTGGGGCTCCTCTTGTTCGGATGAGGGAGCGGGGTGAAGTCTTTGCTCATTGAGCGGGGGAAGCCGCGCCCGGCCGGGGGGCACACCCCGACCCTGCCCATCCTTGTGCTGCTGACTGAGCTCTCCTCGCAGCCGTGCCTCCGAAGACAGAGGCGAAGGCAAAGGCGCTGAAGGCCAAGAAGGCCGTCCTGAAGGGGGTCCACAGCCACAAGAAGAAGAAGATCCGCACGTCGCCCACTTTCCGCAGGCCCAAGACGCTGCGGCTGCGGAGGCAGCCCAAATACCCCCGGAAGAGCGCCCCCCGGAGAAACAAGTGCGTGTGGGGGTGGGACCCTCCCCTGCTGGGGGGTTTTTGGGCTGGGAGCAGCCCCGTGGATGGGCTGCTCTGGGGACCTGGTGGTTTGGGATGCAGATGATGATTTTAAGCGACCAAAGCCTGAGAGTTTGTGATTGTAACCTTAGGTGGCTGATGCACCCCAAAGAAAGCCCCTGAAATTCAGAGGGGCACCTGCCTGCCCTCTGTTAATGGTAGGACCTCTCTTGCAGGCTGGACCATTATGCCATTATCAAGTTCCCTCTGACCACAGAGTCAGCCATGAAGAAGATTGAGGATAACAACACCCTGGTGTTCATCGTGGACGTCAAGGCAAACAAGCACCAGATCAAACAGGCTGTCAAGAAGCTCTATGATATTGATGTGGCCAAGGTTAACACGTTGATCAGGTGAGGAGGGGAGGAGAACAGGTCCCTGCAGGGTGTGAGGGGCTTCACTGTGGCAGAAAATGGGAATGAGTGTGAGATTGAGGAGATGTGGGATAAAGCTCCACAGCTAAGTGCAGCTGTTGGCTGAGCACATCTTGGTGGGAGTGGGAAATGCTGGCAGACCTGAGGGTTGGTTTCCTCAGGGAGCTCTTTGCCTCTTCAAGGAGCACTTCTGACACCCAGGGAGTCCTGTGCAAATGATGTAAAACTTCGATTCCACTGAGTAAAGTGATGCTTCCAAAGGAACCACTGATGCACATGGGAGTTTTAGGAGTGTGGAGCAGGGGGGGAGGAGTTGTCTCTGTCTGATGCCTCCTGTTCCTCTCCAGGCCTGATGGAGAGAAGAAGGCTTACGTCCGACTGGCTCCTGATTATGATGCACTGGATGTGGCCAACAAGGTGAGGTGGCTTTGAAACTTGGAAGCTTTTTTTGCCCCTTGTCTCGTGTCTCCTCCGCTGATTGTTCCTCCTGAGTTTCTTCATGAGGTGCTTGTGTGGTGGCACCTCTGTGGCCCTGTGGGCAGACAGGATTGAGTGCTGAGGAGCCACGTCCTCAGTCAGTTCAGTCCTCAAGGTGGTTGAGGTAGGCAGAGGTGGCACAGAGTGGAGTAAAGGAATGTACAGCACAAGGATCACTGTGGAATCAGTGTGCAGAGTGGATGTGTGAGGCTCTTGGGCAGCTCTGGGAGGAGGAAGCCCTGGAGGACAGGAATCCTGGGGAGATGCAGTGATGCCTGTGGTGGAGGCTCTGCCTTTCTGCCACCATACCATGTGTTTTAACATCCTTTGCTTCTTTCCAGATTGGAATCATCTAAACTGCATCTGCCGAGGACTGTACAGACTAATAAACATTGTGACACCACTGAGGGCTCTTGTGTTTTGTGGCAGCAACGTGTGAGAGAGAGCACCCAGCAAACTCCTGGGCCTTGCCTTCTTCAGGGGGCTCCTCCTTCCCTTCCTGGCCCTGGGTGGGCAGGGCTGACTGCTCCACGAGAGGGCTGTGCAGGGCCAGAGGGTGTCTGGGATCCTGTCAGCATGAGGTGACACCTAAATCTCAAATATCTCTACATTTGCCCCCAGACCTCCTGTGTGTTGCATTTTCTTGCTCAGGGTGTTTGGGATGTGTTTGTGATCAGTGTTTTGGGTGTCCTGCGTCGCTTCCTTGTGGAGCAGAGCAGGGCTGGCCACAACAAAACCCTGTCAGTGGCTCTGATGTGACACAGGTGACCTGTCACACCATTTCCCCAGCGTATCAGCTCCCTGCTTATGCTGCAGGTTCACTTGGAATCCTCCTGCTAATCCAGCAGTGGAGGCTTTGTGGGTTTTTCTGGCACAGTCTCCATGTGCTTGCAGCATGAGTTTCCCTGTTGCTGTTCCTCCCAGGGTTCACTGTCCTCAGGGTTGTTTCCAAATGCTGTTGCTGCCTTTGCAACGTTTGGCTTTTAAGTCTCTAGATGAAACCAGCTTTTAGAGTGTTTGGAGTCAGGAGAATGTGGAGCACTGCCTGAGCAGGGCGTGGGGGAGTTACGGAAAAGTCTTAAGGGTACTTGAGCCTAAGTACATACTTAAACTTGACTGAGAAAGATGATTAAACCCGTGGCCAAATATTGATTGGGGTATTTGTGCTCTTGAATGGTGGGACACCGAGTTCCTTCAGGCCTCTTGTGGAGGGTGGCAGATTCCCAGGACGGTGCTGGATGGAAAGCAGGAGCTGCTCTTTGTGTGGGTTCTGTGGCTCTGGCTTGACACCCCTCACTTGGGCTCGGGGGAGGTGGGCAGGAGGTGCTCCCTGCCTGCTGCAAGGGCTTAAAAACTGCCTGGAGGGTGGAGTGCTGCTTCCCTGGCACCACCAACCCTGCCTTTTCCCTGTGGATGAACAGCAGCAGGGTCCCCTGACCCCCAGCCACCTTTTTGCATGTAAGAAGTGGGAGAAGTTGCCTCTCTTGGAGCAAAGCTGCTGTGACAGGATTGGGTCTGGAGAGCCTGGGGGGTCCCCTGACCCCCAGCCACCTTTTTACATGTAAGAAAGATGTGGGAGAAGTTGCCTGTCTTGGAGCAAAGCTGCTGTGACAGGATTGGGTCTGGAGAGCCTGGATGTGCTGCAGCAGAGGCTGGAGGGATTCCACATCAGCATGACTTGCAGTCAGCCCTGGCCTGAGCTCAGCCCAGTGGTGCTGCCCTGGTACTTCACTCGCCTCCTGCTCCTGGCTGCCAGCCTGCCTGATCCACAGCTGCACTGCTGGGCAGGCTCCTGCTGGAAGCCTGCAGGGGAAAGCAGGGAGCTGCCTCCTTTGGGAAGCTTTGTCATGCCTGGCTTTCCACGCTGGTTTAGGGGCAGGGGAAGTGTGGGGTGGTCTGAGCCTGTGACCTGCTGGGACAGAGCTGTGTCTGCTTCAAGTGGAGAGACAAGGGGGAATGTGCAGCAATAGGGATGAGGGGAAAATTAACATTTGAGCTTAGTTGTGACTGCAGATGCAGTCATCTAAACGGCAAAGAGTTTTTTAAACTGGAAGACACAGCTGAAGCTGTTGGGATGTGCTGCTGAGAGCAAGGCTGAGCCCTGCCAGAGCTGCTGAGCTCTGCTGGGAGGGACAAGGAGCAGGTTTGGAGCTGGCATCAATCCCTGCCCGCACTGTCCCAGCTATCCAATGTCTGTTCCAGCTGCCAGGCTGTTCCTGGCACTGTGTCAGGCACACCAGGGAGTCCCACCGGGATCCACATCCTGTGGGGTGTTTCCCAGCTCTGGTGGAAAGGTGATCCCCCACTGCCTCCCCTTCATCTCTGGCTTATTTCACTCGCAGCGCGTGTCTCTGCCTGGGCCGGGCAGGTGCTGGGGTGCTGGGACAGATCGTGCCCAGAGCAGGGGCTGGGCAGGAGTCCCTCTAAGTCCTGCTGCTCCTGGAGCCGTCACATCAGCAGGATTTTCCTCTCTGGTGCTCCACAGGACCGGCTGGGCCAGTTCTAGCCCTGCTCTCCCAGGGAGCTGAACCCCCCTTCTGCTCCCACTGCTCTGGGAGAGCTGCTGGAACCATCCTGGTCCTGTGGCTGCAGGAGAGGGCCCAGCATGCTCACAGGGCTGCAGCTGCACTGCGCCAGTGAAGAACTGCTCCAGGGGGATGCAAGCATGCAGCAATCTTCCAGGAAGAGCCCTTGGCCTCACATGGCTTTTCCATGCCAGCTCCACTTCACGTGGCTGCCGGGTGAGTCACACAGCCCAGCCAGGCTGGAGACAAGCAGGTCAGGCACTGCCACAAGGCTTGGTACCTCTCCTGGCTCCCTTCAACTGTTCCCTGCACAGCCCTGGGTCTCTGGAATAGCAGAGGAATGAGGAAGAAGAGGGGAACCCATCCACACAAGAGACAAAGTTGTGCTCAAGGCTCAACTGGGTTGGCAGGACCCAGGACACTGAAAGGTCCCTAGAACAAAGGGATGTGAACAAAGGTCCCTAGAGCAGCAAGAATGTGCCCTCTCCCTCCCTGAGAACTGCCAGCTCCCCTCTGGGAGTGGGGCACATCCTTTCCCACAGCCCTGGCCCAGGGGGAGTCCCTGACCTGCTCTGCCCCACAGAAGAGCCAGCCCAGGTGTGCTGCGGCAGCAGTAAATAGACCGATTTTAATGCACAGAACACCCGACATCACCACGGGAGGGACTCCTCCCCTCCCTCACAACCCTTCCAGGCATCAGCTGCAAAGCACAGCCACCCCTGGCCCTCCAGCTGCCTGCAGGGAAGCCGGCTTGGGCTGCTTCTCCATCGGCCGTGCCTCTGGCTTCAGCAGCATCCCCGCAGCTCGGCGAAGCTGTCGGGCTGGTCCAGCAGGGAAGCGCTTTTAGGCAGCAGAGCGGGTGAAGGCAGGGCCTGGGGCCAGGGAGAAAGCCCTAAGGCACATCAGAGCAGCTTTGGAGAGCCCAAAACTTCCAGGAGCCGGAGGCCGGGTCCCCCTCGGCGCGCACATCTCAGTCTATCAGAAACTTCTCACCATCTACATCTCTCCCCGCAGAGCCTTTGCGCAGGGAGGGGAAAAAATCAGAGCGGAGGAGGCGGGAGAAGTACATGAGGATCATGGCGTCGAGCAGCAGGAGGTTGGCAGTGAGGAAGGCACCCTGGCCCTGCACCTCCACGTGGCGGAGGAAGTACCAGGTGAGGTAAGCCTGGGGCGCCAGGCGGAAGGCGAAGTACATCACCAGGTTGATGTATTTGTTGGCCTCGTAGAGCGCCGGGGAAGGCACGTTGCTCATCTTCAGCAGCATGCGCACCGTGAGGAAGATGTTGCTCACCTCCACCAGCAGCAGCAGCACCGCTGCCACCAGGAAGCGGCCTGTGATGATGAGTGAGACGAAGGCAGAGATGGCCTGGGAGACACAAACAGAGAACAGGGTCAGCTTCGCCTTGCCCTGGGGAAAACGAGTCCTTCCTGCCCTCAGTGAGAGCACACAGTTCTGTTCCCCCCACCCAGAGATCCCAGCAGGCGCCTGAGCTTAGAGAAAACCAGTCTGGAAAGCCAGATCCCCCAGGACCAGTTACACCTCCCTGTGCTGGGACGAGCCTCCAGCTCTGCCCCCTCCCAGCTCGGCAGCCTGTCTGGCTCCAGGCGCTTGGAGCTGATGCTGGCAGGCGTCCTGCCCCGCCAGGCGCCCTCGCCTTGTTGCTGCAGAGCCTACCTGGCAGCCAGGGTGAGGCAGAGAGAAGGGCTCCAGCTTGCCCCGTGAAACCTGGGTGGGCTGAGCCCCGGGGTGTGTGGTAGCCCCCCCCGTTCTGGCCATACTCACCATGGCATGGTGCACCAGGTACTCCCAAGAGGAGCGGGACTGATGGTTGAAGATGATGTCAAGGGTGTCGTGGATGAAGTAGCCTGTGGGATGAAGGAGAGCGCTCAGAAGGTCTGGCTTGTGCACTGTGACCCACTGTGGAAAGGAGGAGCAGCGAGGAGGAGGAGGAGGAGGGTGGTGTGACTGTTCTTCAGGTGTCAGAAACACCTCCACCCTGTCTGGGTATGGAGAGACGGCGATTCCCTGGGGGTTGGCAGCCTGTGGGCTCCACGCTGTGATTAAGGCAGGAGGCACGGAGCTGCCCAGCCCTTGAGCCAGGGGCTCGTCCCGAGCCAGCATGCCGGGCAAAGCTGAGCAGGGAGTGGGCGAAGTCCGGCGGGGCAGCTGCGGCCGCTGCCTCGCCTGGCTCCTTACCTGAGGAAAAGCAGACCAGCAGGTGCCCTGAGACGCTGTAGCCGTCCTGGATGTCGGAGAGCAGCTCCGGAGCGTGCCAGAGGCTGCGAGTGAGGAGAGAAGGAAGGGTGTCAGCCTGGGCTCCGGGACGGGGAACACAGGGACCCCCTACCCCCTGCCCCCTCCCCAGGAGTGCCCAGCCCGCAGCGTGCGCCCCGTGCCCGCCGCTCCCCGCGCTGCCCGCTACCTGAAGAGGGCCCATAGCCCCGCCAGCACGGAGTGTGCGAAAGACACGAGGAGATTCCTCCAGCGCCAGACGCGGCCGGGACGGCTCCTTACGGCGGCGGGCTGCGGCACGGCCAGGGCCAGGCGGCGCAGAGCCCCGAAGATCGCCACGCTGCCGCCCACCAGCGCCGCCGAGGCCGCCCGCCAGCCCGGGCCCATCGCGCCCAGTCCGGCGGCGCGGGGCCGCGGGGCCACGCCCCACCCCGGCCACGCCCCCTCGCCTGCGCCAGCGGGGCCACGCCTTCCCATTGGGCACTCCCCCCGCTGGCCACGCCTCCCCCGCGCGCGCCTGCGCGGGGTTGGTGGGCGCTGAGGGGCGTGGCCGAGCCGTTCATTGATAAAGAGGCGCGGTGGCCACGCCCCCCCGGGCGGGTGTGTACGCGCGTACGCGCTCACGTGTGCGGAGCGTGGCGCGGGCGTGGGCACCTGTGCGGGGCACGCGGGTGTGCAGGTGTGCGGGTCGTGCAGGTGTGCGGGGTGTGCAGGCGTGCGTGATGCCGGGCGCTGCTCCCGAGCCCGCCCGGAATTGCACGTGTGTGCCGGACACCGCAGGCGTGCCCGTCACACACCGCCCGTCCGCACCGGGCAGCGCGGGAGGCTGTGCGTGGCAGCCGCCGCACATCTGTGCAGGGCCCTGCACATCTGCCACACTGGCGCACAGCTGGCGTGGGCCTCGCACATCTGTTCCGCGCCGTGTGCGTGTCCCCGGCACGGTGTGGTTGTCGCCGGTGGCCGCGGCGCGTTGTGTCGCGGGGAGGATGCCCGGGAAAACATTTGGAGAAGTGGGAGCAGCCACAAACGCTCCCCTCGTCGCTGCCCCACGCTGCAGTGGGGCTGACCCCCTCCCCGCTGAGCCGGGCTGGCTGTCGCTAGGTGGCAGCAGGGCCACGTGGCAGTGCCACCACTGCCGCTGCTGTCACTGTCCCCACTCCGGGACAGAGGCCGCCCCTCCGGGCTGCAGAGCAGGACCCGCTTCCGCGCTGTAGCCGCCATCACGGCCGGCCCCGGCGCTGCTCGTGGTCCTGGGGGTCTAAAGCAGGGCCGGGGGGCCGTGCAGGGGGCTCGTGTGCCGTGTGCTGGCCCTGTCGCAGCGCAGCCCCGCAGTGGGTGTCCCTCGGGGCTGGGGGCTGCTGGGGACACCGCCGCTCTCCGGGGGTGCGGGGGGTCCTGCTGGCATCCCGCAGCCGGTCGGGCAGCCCGGCGCACCCCAAACCCCTCTCTCTGCTCTGTCTCTCTCAGACCCAAGCGGGTCCGGCTGCCGGTGGCACTGGGGTGTCACCACGCGGGGGGTGGCGTTGCCCCCCACAGAAAACACCGAGCCCCCGCGCCGTGCACGCGCGGCGCGGTTTGTCCGCCCGCGGACGCCGTAGCAGCGCGGAAGTGTCTCCATGGAGACGGGAGGAGCCGGGCCCGGCGATGGAGAAATACGAGCGGATCCGGGTGGTGGGGAGAGGGGCCTTCGGGTGAGGGGCGCCGGAGACGGGCCATGGGGACGTCTCCAGGCTTTCTGCCTGCGGGCGGGACGTCTTTAAGCCGCGTCCCCGTGGCAGCGGGGCGCTAGCGGGGTCGGCCGGGGTGTGGCAGCCGGGGGGACGTGGCGCAAAGTGCGTGGCACCCGGGGCGCGGGGATTGCGGGCGACCTGCGTGGCCCCAGGGCGGTGTCCAGGCCCTGTGCTGTGCCCCCCCTCCCCGCGCTGAGGCCCCGTGCCTGTCCCCGCAGCATCGTGCACCTGTGCCTGCGCAAGGCCGACCAGAAGCTGGTGATCCTGAAGCAGATCCCGGTGGAGCAGATGAGCAAGGATGAGCGGCTGGCAGCGCAGAACGAGTGCCAGGTCCTCAAGCTGCTCAGCCACCCCAACGTCATCGAGTACTACGAGAACTTCCTGGAGGACAAGGCGCTCATGATCGCCATGGAGTACGCCCCAGGTGGGCCCTGCTGTCCCCCAGAGCCTGCAGCTGCTCCTTGGCACGGCCAGGGCATGCCAAGCACCTGGCTCAAGCTGCTGTGGGCTCACCTTGTGCTCCTTGTAACACTGGTTTTGCACCCCCATCAGACCAAGCCTGTCTCTCTTGAGGAGACATTTTTTGTAGAAGAGTGTCTGTGGTTCTTGGTGGACACCAAATTGACAATGAGCCAAGTGGCCAAGCATTGATGCAGGTTGTGGAGTCACCATCCTTGGAGATACTCAAAAGATTCTGGTCCTGGACAAGTTCAGTGGCTCTCCTTGAGCAGTGACCTCACAAGGTCCCTTCCAACCTCCATGATTATGTGCCTTACACCTGCTAACCATATCCAGAACAAGGAGATTCAAACCTCTCTGTCCCTGATCAGCATGCTGCCATCTGCCCTGGCTCAGGCTTCAGGCACATTTCCCTGTGTCAACTCTGTTGGCCCCACGTTTCTAACAAGATTTCCTGTGGAGTTTCAGATGAAATCAACATTTGCATGAGGGTTTGCTAGAAGCTGTATGTGAGCCCTGAATCTGGACCTCCCCTTCCCAACAGGGGCCTCTCTGTGCCACGTGGCCTCTTGGACTGGGAGAATTCTGCTCTGCAGAACAGGCTGGTCTTGTTCTGCCGTGGAGGTTTATGTCCTCTCCCAAGAGCTGTAATTTTAGTGTTTCTTTTTCCTGCTTCTGATAACATGTCAACGATAACTTCTCTCTGGCTGCTTCTTCCTCCCACCAGCTGTGCTGCCATTGTTCAGGAGCATGGGAGGATGTGCTGCATATCCCGCCAGGATGTGTTTTTCCCACATGCTTGGCTAGTTAGGATGCCAAAATGGCAAAATCCCCCCAGTTTTAGGCCAGGTTTGTGCTGCCCTGTGCCCACAGCCCTTTGCTGTTCCTTGCAGGGGGCACTCTGGCAGAGTTCATCCACAAGCGCTGCAATTCCTTGCTGGATGAGGACACCATCCTGCACTTCTTCGTGCAGATCCTGCTGGCCCTGCACCACGTGCACACCAAGCAGATCCTGCACCGAGACCTGAAGACCCAGAACATCCTCCTGGACAAGCACCGCATGATCGTCAAGATCGGAGACTTCGGCATCTCCAAAATCCTCAGCAGCAAGAGCAAAGCCTACACGGTGAGGGGCAGGGCAGCTTCTAACCCCGTGGCAGCAGGCTGGAAACTCTGGATTTGGCTCACAGTCCTCTCTGGGAAGTGGCTTTAGGCAGTGCTGCTTTGTTCCTTGGCTGGTGTCTTCGTGCCTGAGTTTGCTGTGGCTCTGTGGGCTGCAGAAAGGTGAGGAAGACCTGCCCAAAGCTGGGAGAGGGTGAGGTGTCTGGGCCCACTGGTGAGGGCAGGCAGGGTGGCTCCTGCTGGGGTGGTGTTTGCAGACTTGTCTGACACATCCTTAGCAAATAAATTCCTGCCTGTGCACTCCCACCCTGCCTTAATCTCCTTTCTCTGCTTGACATTTAGTGTCTTTCCCCACCTGGGCTAATCTGAGCAGACATGTGTGTCACGCTCAGCGCTCTGGGCTCTGATTCTCTCAAGTGGATAGAAGCAAAATTAGAGGCAATCACTGTATGTGTCACTGGAAAAGCAAATCCTCTTGTTTTTCACTGAGATTTTCAGGCAGCTGTTGATGCCAAGGGAACAAAAGGCCAGCTCTGTGGAGCTTTGGCTGGTGGTGTTCCAGCCAGCTCTGCACCAAGCCTCCCCCTTTGCACCTCTCTGCCCCAGTTTCACTGCACTGTGGTAAATTTGTGTCTCTTGTAGGTGGTGGGGACTCCGTGCTACATCTCCCCGGAGCTCTGCGAAGGGAAGCCTTACAACCAGAAGAGTGACATCTGGGCCCTGGGCTGTGTGCTCTACGAGCTCGCCAGCCTCAAGAGGGCTTTCGAAGCTGCGGTAAGAGATGTGGTTTACACGTAGCACAGGGAGCCGTGGCCTCTCACAGAGGTGAAAATGTGTGCCGGGATCACTTCTCAGCGAGCCGGCAAGTGTGAAGGCAGAGGGCAGTGCTGAGAGCTCCTTCCTCCTTGGCCTCGCCCCTGGCTGCCCAGCCACTGTTTTGTCTCTCGTTTTCTCTCCAGAACCTTCCTGCCTTAGTGCTGAAGATCATGAGCGGGACGTTTGCCCCGATATCAGATCGATACAGCCCCGACCTGCGCCAGCTCATCCTCAGCATGCTCAACCTGGATCCTTCCAAACGGCCCCAGCTGAACGAGATCATGGCCCAGGCCATCTGCATCCGGCCCCTCCTGAACCTCTACACAGATGTGGGCAGTGTCAAAATGAGGAGGCAAGTGACACTGCCACCTCAGTGTCCCTTGGGAGGGGCTGCCACAGCCCACAGCATGGCTGGCCAGCTCACTGCCTCCCTTCTGAGCTCCAAAGGGAGCATTTTCCCAGTGCAGCTCTCCTCTGCTGCCTAACGTGCAGCTGCTGCTGGCAGGCTTGGCCCAGGGGCTCAGAGCCAGGCAGGTGCCATGGCAGGTGTTGGCTTGTCATCACAGTGACAGCAAACAGAGTTGTGAGCACAGGGGGAAGTGAGCTGGTGCCAGCTCCTCTCCCTCAGGTTGTTTAAAGCACAAAGCAGTGCTGGGAGTGATTTCGCCCGTGGCTTCTGCTGTAGCTGTGCCCAGACATTGTGTGATCCAGGGCTCTGCAGGACATTAAAGGCTGGATTTTGGTTTGGCAGGCCTGAAAAACCCTTGGCTCCAGTGCCCACAGTGACCCACAGCCGGGCAGGGGGACGGGCGAGCAGTGCCAGGCAGAGGGGTGAGTTCTGGCATGGTGTGTTCAACTCACTCCGTTTGGAAGGACCCTTTCCTTTGGATGACACCAGGCAGAGAGGCACTCAGGGTTCTGGAGGGAGGAACTTAAGAGATGTCACCTTCCCTGAGCTCTGGAGAAGCCCTGCAGCCCCTTGGACCAGCACTGGACTGGCTCTGGCAGCTCTGCTGGCACCCAGACTGGCTGGTGCTGTCACTTTTCCTGTGGGAGCAGAGTCAGGGATCCACATTAAGGATTTCTCTGTGCCCCACAGGTGTCCGACGTGGTTCAGCCAGGACAGGAATCCCACCTCCACTGTCATCCATCTACACGTGGGGCAGTGGGATCAGCACCCCTCTGCGCCTGCCCATGCTCAACACCGAGGTGGTGCAGGTCTCTGCTGGCAGGACACAGAAGGCTGGGGTCACCAAATCTGGGAGGCTCATCCTGTGGGAGGTGAGTGACAGGGAAGGCCGTGGAGCCTTGGATGTGTGATCCCTGTGAAGGAGGCATTTCTGCTCCCTCACAGAGCCTGGCACTGCCTCCTCCAGGACTGCAGTCCCAGCCAGGGTGTGGGTAATGCTGATAAGCCTGTGGGAAGGGCTTCATCAGTGCTCTCCAGCCCAGCTCTTCCATGGTTTCTGTCCATCAGGCT